AATGGTCTCCTGTATGGTTTACCAAATACTGAACTGATTAAGCTGCAGAGGGTTCGAAACGCCGCTGCAAGATTAGTGACTTCAACACGAAAATACGATCACATTACACCTATATTACGTGAACTACACTGGTTACCTGTGAAGTTCAGGATCCATTTTAAACTGCTATTGCTTACTTTTAAAGCTTTACATGGAATGGCTCCAAAGTACATAGTAGATCTACTCGTTATTAAAGTGGAAGGAAACTACCTCTTACGCTCTATTAAAAGCATAATGCTAGAGTTCCCTAAGGGTAAATTTTTACGGTCATTTGGCGACCGATCTTTCACTGTGGCAGCTCCGAAACTTTGGAATGAACTTCCAAAAGAAATTCGTGATATTTCGTCAAAAAGCGTTTTTAAAACTTGTCTTAAGACTCATCTTTTTAAACTAGCTTTTAGTATTTAGTTTATATTAAAGTTAACATTTCAACATTTTAATACGCTTTTAACATTAGTTATATTGTAATGCAGCGCTTTTGATCATTACATGTAAAAAGCGCTTTATAAATTATTAAATTATTATTATTATTATTATTATATATATATATATATATATATATATATATATATATATATATATATATATATATATATATATATATATATATATATATGTATATATATATAAATCAAGTATGGCTTTGGCTCTCACAACACGTGTCGATCTATCATTCTCGCGCTACCAATTCGACGAATTCAAGGAAAACACTAAAGCCCGTCATGTTCCTTTCGAAGAAATAGACTATTCGATATACAAAACAACCTCCAACTGTATCGCTTTTACTACTAGCGAAGAAAGAATTACCACGCGGATTAAAACGTTTTATCTCCGCTATTGTGCCGAAGCAATCAAAGATGGCGGAACAACACTTAAGTCAACATGGGATGAAACACCAGCTCAAAACGATGCGACCAAATCAGAAAAGATATCCATTACATTGTCGACTGAGGACGAGAAAACTCAAGTAAACATTGTCACTATAATAATTTACTGCAGTACTGGACGAATCCAGATTCAAGGTAAATCATTACGTGTTTGGGGTGACAGTGAATTCCCTATCATCGAAGATCTCGTCGAGCAAAACGTTAGAAATACATCATTCAAATTTCACATCATCAAAGAACATACAAACTTTTCTAAAAACTGTCTCGCAACCCCCAATGGAAAATGAATGTGACGTAACAAATCCAGCAATTATCACAGTCACAATCGAAGACCTCCCTCCTCTTTCAAATACTTCAAGCCCTTGCTGTGAAAAATACCTTACCACTATGAAAAATAACATGGTAGACCTCGAATCGAGCTTTGTATCCTTCAAGCAAGAGATCTTCAAATCATATGAAGACCTTAAACATGATCTAACATCCAAAGATAAAGAAATTAATATGTTAAAGAAGAGAATTAATAATAATAATAATAATAATAATAATTACAATATTTAGTCAGGGGGTCCACTCAAGAAAGTGATTTTCAGTGGAGCCCTGATAAAAAAAAAAAAAATAAAAAAAATAAAATAAAAGAATAAAAATATAAAACTAACAAAAGTGAATATATGAAAGGTTGAATTGTATAAAGTTCTTGTGCATCCTATCGGTTCAGTGGGGTGTCCTATGGCTATATATATATGAATGCTTCTTTAGTTTAGTTTTAAAAGTTTTAATTTGACGTATATTCTGGAGTTCCACAGACAGATTATTCCAGTCGTTGGCAGCTTGGTAGCTGAATGCCTGCTTCCCCCAGTTCTTCTTCACGCGTTCCAAATGTATGTTCTGTTTTTTTCGAGTATTGTAGCTGTGGATGTCAGAGGAGAACTTGAAATTAAATTTAAAATCGACGTCATTGTTTAAAGACTTGTGCATGATTAGACAACGATGAAAGTGTCTACGTGTTGTTAACGGCTTCCAATTTAACGATCGTAGGGATTCTGAGGCTGACGAGAGTGGATAAGCGTCAAGAATGATTTTATCGCCTTTTGTTGTGCAGAACTTGAAGGTTGTTCATCAGGACATGCAGAGTTGTTTTTATCACCCCACACAAAATCAGCGTAGTCAAAGATCGGCATGACAAGGCTGTTTACTAGAGTACAACGAGATTCAACTGTTAGGAGGTGCTTAACTCTTCGTATGATAGCAAGACGTTGATTAACTTTGGTAAAGAGTGCTTCAATATGATCTGACCACGATAATATCTGATTTAGGGTTATCCCAAGATATTTAAATGATTCAACACGATTTAGTGGGCTATTATTAATAAGTAGATTTATATTTTGTAGTTTGGCAAGTTTGACATTACTTCCGAAAACCATACATTTGCATTTAGAAGTATTAAGAGTTAAACGGTTAGCACCAAACCAACGAGATAAGTTCTGCAGGTCAGAGTTTAGCTTTTGTTCCAATTCAATCGTGGTTTTAGCTGAGCAAATCAGGACGGTATCATCTGCATACAGGGAAATGTCACAACTGTTAACAGTGAAGGGAATTTCATTCACATAAATGAGAAACAGTAAAGGACCCAGTATACTTCCTTGGGGTGCTCCGACATGTACTGGTTGAGTGGACGACTGTTCAAGACCAATAGAAGTGACTTGAAAACGATTAGAGAGATAAGAAGAGACCCTGTTCATTGTTGGCTCTGAAAAACCAATAGTACCAAGTTTCTGTATGAGACGATCGTGACTAACCGTGTCGAAGGCCTTCGAAAGATCTAAGAAAACTGCACCGGCGATAGAACCTTTGTCTAAATTATCCAGAATGTTGTCAGTGAAGTAGGTGAGAGCAATTGCCGTGGAGAGTTTTGGGCGGAATCCAAATTGTTTCGGGGTCAGGATATTTTCACGAAGTAGATAGCTATAGACTTGACTATGAACAGCTCTTTCAAGTATTTTGCTAGCAGTTGGTAGAATAGTTATTGGTCTATAGTTATTGGCATTGCATCGGTCGCCGGATTTGAATAATGCAGTTACTTTTCCACATTTCCAAACAGCTGGGAAGACGGAGGTTGCTAATGAGCGGTTGTAAAGTTTAGTCAAACTTGTTGTGATAACGTCAGCGCAGTCCTTTAGCAATCTGGCACTGATGTTGTCCAAACCAATCGCTTTGTTTGTTTTAAGACTGTTTAGTTTGGCTTTAACAAAACACTCATCGATTACATCAAAAGCAAACATTACGCCAGATTCAAGATGGTCTTTACAAACGGCAGCGGTGATGGTAGACGTAACTGTGCGAAATTTATTAACGAGTTGTTAAACCAATAGTCGAAAAATGGTTATTGAGAATTTTGGAGATTTGCCTGGGTTCGGTAGATGGAGTTCCATCGACTTCAATACATGAAATGTTCGAGCTCGATTTACGTGAAGTAATTTCATTGAGGTGTTTCCAGAGAGTTTTGGGATTAGTTTTAGAGATTTCAATAAGATTAAGGTAGTACCCCGATTTACTCTTTTTGACTTGTCTATTTACGTGGGATTTCAAACTTTTGAATTTGGACCAGTCAGAAGGATAATTAGATTTGGTAGCTTTACGGAAAGAGCGGTCGCGTTCCTGCATAGATGTTTTCAACTCGGATGTCATCCAAGAAACATGAAACATTTGACAGTCTGGAAGCAACAAATGAACTACTTTGGAAGGATAATATTGAACTGAATAGCTTATCCAAAAAGCAAAAACAAATTGAGAAAAACGTTAGTAACACCATTGACCAAAATAATAAACTCAAGAAAAATAATGAAGGGAACTTTACCCCTCAAACATAAGAATATCCCCAATATTTCACGTCAACTGAAAATGTTATACCCAACATCTCTACCCACAACATTTTTTCTCCCCTTAACGAGGAAAATCCCAACCATGACATCTCTATATTTAAAATATATCACAAAGTTTGCAAGGTGAAACCAAGAAGGCCTCACCCAAAACATTAGACGCAGAAACAGTCATCCTATGTAACTCAAATGAGAGAAAACTCGATCCCAAACTGCTCTTCCCAAATTCATCCACCGAATACCTAAAATGTCGAACTCTAGAATCAGCAAATCAACTCATAACCAATATGAATTCAAACAAACCAAGACCTTCATTGTTCATGTTGGTACAAATGACATTGAAAAGCTCGCAATTAACAAAGTCACAGACCAGACAAAATCTCTTCTTACTTCAATTGGAAACAAAAATCCTGAGGCACGGATCCTGCTATCAAATCTCCTCCCTCGTAGTGATGAACTCCTCCAAAAAGCACAGAACCTGAACAGAAACTTCCTCCAAATCCCTACCGAATTTAAAAATGTTACCAACATTGAACATACAAACTTGTTCCAGTCGACATCAATCTTGTATGACAAAAAACACCTTAACGACAAAGGCATCAAGATATTTGCAAAGAACCTAAAGAGTGCATTCTTTGGAACACAGAAGACCCATTGCCACATCAAAACCAAACCACTGTTCCACACAGATCCAAATAAACCATTCCTCCCAAATCCACTACTCCACTCAAATCCACTACTCCGCTCAAATCCACTACTCCACTCAAATCCACTACTTCACCCAAGTCCACTACTCCACCCAAGTCCACTACTCCACCCAAATCCATTCCCCGCTTCACACTTCCCCAAACCATACTACAATACTCAACCATTCCAAAACTACGACCATCACTTCCCACCAATGGAAAGAAATACAAGTCCAAACAGCCAGAAAATATCATCAGAAGATGCCAAAAATCAAAAGATCACAGAAATTGCAAAGCTCCTCTATGGTCTCTTCCAATGAAATAAAAAAGGTTGTAAGTAACAAAACACACTTTTCTTAATATATATAGATTTGTAAATATATAATCTCTAGCACATAACATCTGTCATAGGTCGGTCACCTTCTCCAATCTTTTCCTAAAATCCAAATTGACCAAAATTTACTGAAATGTACTCCAGGCTATCATTTAGTGCTTGGAATATAAATGGCCTGAAACATAACACTATCGGTAACAAGCTTACCAATGGTGATTTTATACAAAATATAAAAGATCATGACTTAATCTTCTTGACTGAAACATGGTCCAAAGAGACAA